GAAAAGGGGCTGCAGTGACATGATAATAATTTAGTAACAGTAAAAACAATCATGAAGTAAATGTAAAAATAATTAGAACACAGAACAATAAAATAGTGTACATGAAAATGGATTCTGTTGTTATATCTTTGTGAATCCCCCCACCATCTGATTTGATTAGGATAAAAATATTGTGATGTTAAAGCCATCAGAAGTACATGTGTCAGCAGTGTTTCCTTTGTTGATGTGAGAGCTGGATGTTAAGCATCGCTCCATGCTCTGAGTGTTCGCCTCATCATCAGGAGCTGTTTAGTATTCTGTGGGTGTAAATAGGAGTTTGGCGGGGCACTGGGTGGCAGAGCGGACCACTTTGTCATTAATGTGCCCATTGGTGTTATAATGTGCCTAATGACATCACTCTCAGATGGCATGCTGCGAGCTCGACCACAGGGAGCCCGGCTCAAACGTCTGCAGGCTCTGACGCCTCCCGTCATCAATCCCACAAGTCTTTCCACCAAAATCTGAAGCCTCCAGATAATGTCTTTCACGGTTCAGCAGTCTTACAGGGTTTTCCCTCCTGCCTGGCCTTGAAATGGGCAAATTAATAGTTCCTTTGAAACAAATTGGAATTACACCCCTCGATGCCTTAATGTCAGAATGTGTGCGTGCTGACGTCCCAGGTCTCACTGCTGATGGAATGTGAAGATCTGAGAAATACAGTGTACAGAGGGAGGGGGTGTGAAGATATGCAGGACCCATGCACAGGGAGTGAAGCCTGTGCTCAGCATGGAGAGCAGCAGCTATTGTCTGAGCAAAGGGAAGATTGGAAGAGTTCCATCTTCAGCATTAAGGGGGGAATCTGGGAGCTCTGAGATATGAGACTGAATGATGGCCTGAACACCAACATGGTGTTAGTCTGTCACACAAAAACAAACATTTTAATTCTGCTTACTAATAGCATAATGTCACCTGCCATTGTATTGTACATACCAGACAAGCACTTTTATTTGTACTTTTCATGTATAAATGGGATTTTAGTTCTAGACATGAGATGGCTCCTTGCATTTTTTAAAAGTTAAGAAGCTATAATTTTCTGTCATAGCATCCTGATTATGTAAACTCTTTTTATTGAGATGCTGCTGTTTTCAGTGCTTTCTCTGCCTGTTTCAACATTGAGTATTGCAACATTGCCCAGCTCCCATGTGTGGCTGTGCACTGCCTGTTGGGTGGCTTAAACAATGATCCTTAGCTTCCTTTTGCTTTAAACAAACACAGAGGAAACACTGTTAAAGCCACAGCTGGCAAGAACAACATGTTTGTGACTGCAGGCTGGTTAGCTTGAACCAGTTAATCAGATTGTTGTGTTTGTCAAAAGGTTTGATTTTCTACCAAATTATCACCTTTACTTCAAGATTGTTTCTAATTTTATTTTAGTGTTGTAACTGGAACAATGAAAAGCAGTGGAAGGAATAACTGTTGCTGCTCTGTTTCAGGAGGGACTACACGGCCCGGTAAGCTAGTTTACACTCACTGCTACAATGATCTGGTTTCACCGGGGGAAAATGAACGATCACATTGTCCGTCATCCTCTGATCAGTTGTTGGGTGAACAGTCCAGCCTGATTTTTGGTTCAGATCTGCCAGTGGCGTGTCTGACTGCATCAGATCTAATCTCTGTGAGGCAGAGATATAGTCAGCGCGATCAGGGAGCATGCAAGATCAGGAAGTCAGACATGGAATGCTTGAAGACTGTGACACTGATTGAAAACAGAGGATCTGGCAGTGACTGAAGGGCAGCAGGTGATATGGGCAACTGCCCATGTGGCAATAAACAGCAATCCGTAAACTGGGTCAGCAGGGCAGAGAGGAGAAATACATAAAACTTGGGGGAATATTAAATATGGTGGAGGTACTCCTCAAGGTCTCTTGATGCCCCTTTGACCTCAGAAAGGAGACTTGATAAATGAGGAGCATTACAAGCAAGCAAAGTGGTAAAAAACAAAGAACAGTTCTCACAAACTGAGACTGGTTCAAAAGAATCAAATCGTTGCTGAACGACACATCAAAACTCTCAGTAGGTACGACTGGATGACTCTGATCATCAGACGTCCTGGAGTTTTCTTTCCACTGGTATCTTTCAGGAATATGAGGGACCCGGTTTTAAGCCACTGATCCATTTTTCTTTTCAAACTAAATCCTTTGGTAAGCTAACTGCATGCGTCACACTTTGAGCTCATGAGATTTCAGGGTGGCAGTGGAAGTTGGAACCTGAACACCTTGGTGGTGAGACCCTCTGAAACACAGACAGTCCATGGGCCACTGGGGCAGAAGTGCTGTGGAGCGATGACTGGCCTCTCTAGACTTACCTTGGTGATGGAGAGCTGAACTCAGATTGGACGTATTCTGCTTATTTTCTAAACCAGAAGAAAACAAGAGAACAACATCAAATAAGTCTATAACATAAAAGAAATAAAAACAGAGAACATGAAGCTTCATGAAGCCTCATTCAGCCTGGAAGACTCTTCAGCCTCATCTGCATCATCCAATCACTGGCTGCACACACTTCGTAGTGTGTGCAGCCAATCACCATCAGACCTCACCTCATCATAACCAATCATTGAGCCAGCCTCCATTCATAAAAACCTCCATCCATGGCTCCATCTGCTCCCATTGAGCTTCAACCCACCTCCACCTCTCCTCCACCTTCGTCCTCCTGGCTCCTTCATGCTTCCATCGTCTCTTCAGCCTCCACCACCAGCGTCCAGGCCCGGGAGGAAGACGTCTCTAATCTCCATCCTAAGATGCTCATCCATGTTTATCACATTTTGCAGCACCTACGTCTTCTGCCAGGGCCTGAGCCCCAAAACTTTTATTCATTCATGTCAAATAAAATTTCCTAATCACAGCTTTTTCTTTGTGAGTCTCTTCAGGTTGAATTGAAAATTTGTGACTGAAATGTCACAAGTTAAATTTCTTCCATTTGCTATAAATTGAAATGCATAATAAAACTTGTTAAACTGTCTGAGACGAGACCTGTCACACTGAAGACAGTTGATGGTGAACCTTTATACATTATACTGTAATGTTGACTGTACTTCCACTATGAATTGTGATGAAAGATATTTCTGCATATTTCTGTAAGTGAAGCTTAGATGACTCTAGGGGTCAGCATCAATCAGCCTGTAAATGCAGCTGAAAGCAACAAAGATCTCAGTCTGATGTGCCAGTGAGTCGGTTACTGAATTGCTGATCGGATATAAGTAATACAAAAACCCAAATATTTACACTAATGTGGTCTCAAGTCAAACACAAGAAATGGCGACTGCACAACTACAGCTGCATCTCAACAGATGTCATTTATTTTGGTAATTCAATCCAAAGATCTAAATTTCTATATCCAGTTTTTATTTGTTTGAATTTTGATGAGTTTGGCTCAGAGCTAATGAAAGTCACAACTGAGTTCCTAAGAGAATTACAAAATACAAATTTCTCATCCAATTGCTGAGCATATGTTCTCAGCACTTCCCCTGAATCAAATATGTATCTGAAAACCCAGCAATTCATTTATCACAATAATTTGAAAAAGCGATGCTTTCTACATGCAATATTCATTTTATCTCGGGGCGGATTTCACAGTCATCTCCTGCTTTCTGCCAACCAGTCCAGCTCAGATGAGCAGACATTCGGAAAGTAAACATAAACATGGAAATGGGCTTTTGAACACAAAGATATTCAAATTCAAAAGTTATTTGTGGGTACTAAGTGAGCACACAAGTCCTTCCAACTCTGAAACCAGCTGCCCAGCTGCACAGCATCCCAGGCCACAGGGGAAAAGCTTACAAAAAAACAACAACTTTCCAACCAGAAAAAGTAGGAAGGAAAATTTTAAAAGAATAACGGAGAAGAAACGTAACAGCTGTACATTCTAGTTTCCAGAATTTTCCACTTCTTTGAACCCCAAAATGTGGGAGGAGTTATATTGGTTATTTTCCCATCTGTCTTCTTTTCTATTAAATCCTAGATGACCTTCATTATTGACAGGTATGGTGAGAAAATTTAAATGAGACACTTTTATCTGTAATTACTCTACTGTTATTTAATTAGCTCAGGTAGATAAAACATATTCTCTATGTGAATGTTGATCAGTATGGTTGTTGCTGTGAAAGAGACAGAAGGGATGTAGAACACATTCTGCTGTGCAGGATTCAAGATTCACGAAGAAAATATAAGATTTTTAAACAGGTTTTACATTTTCACATATTAATAACTTCATCATGTTTTCGTAGCAGTGGTTTGCTCCACAGAGATGTTGCATTAGTTGAGTTCAGTGTAGTTCTTTGGCAGAAGTGTCAGGCTTCTGCTTCTTCCTTATTATTTGGTGTGACTTTAGCATTAACTCGCTTTGGTCAGAGCTCTGCAACCAAAGAGTCGTTTTCACCTCAGGCCAGCAAAATCAAACTCACTTAAAGCTGCAAATGTTACATCATCTGTAGAGAATAACAAAAAAATAAACATTTTTTTGATAAATATCTGTTATATGAAATATGCTGTCATTTTAATTGGGCTTTAAATTAAAGAAAAACATTTGCAAAAACAGAATGAACCCATTTTCTTTTACTGGATGCTGGTGTTTGTGGGAAGTCATGTAAACAAAAGAATTTATCTTTCAACATAATGACAAAAAAGGATTAGCACCATCACTTTGTTGTGGAAATTCAATGCAGGAAATATTCCACAATTAAAAAATAAATAAATAAATAATTCCTACACCCTGCATTTGTTATTGTGTCTAAATGAAAAATGACTGGATCTGCATGATCTTAGCCAAATTATTTTAGCCATCATGGCCATGATCTATTCTTACTTTCCTATCATACTGTCCTACACACACTATTAATCTCTCCTATTATGTTCTCTCTCTTTCTCTTTCTGTTTCTTGCTGTGCCCACAACCTTCACACAGCAGAGCTTTTCCAAGCAAATAAGGTCAGAAAACTCAACGATTTTTAGTTTCATATATTTATTTTGCATTGGTATCTATGATATATAAGAAAACATTTCTCCCCATCAAATCCATTGGCACTTTAAAGGACTGAAGTTCTGACAGGTTTTCAGTTGGACAGTGGCTCTGGTCAGATTGAAGGACATAATGAGGGTAACAGTCTCGAAAATAAACTCTTCATTTCTGATTCCCTTTGCATTAGTTGAAAAACACTGTAGAAAGAGGAAGTGATCTGAGGTCTGACCACTGCTCCTGAAAAACATTCAGCTGCACAACGTAAATGTGAGATGATGACAAGAAGCCCAAACATGAAGCATGTCTGAACCTCAGACCACAGGCAGCTCAGACCGCTGGCTAGTTTTACTTTTTAATAGTTCATTAATAAAGTTTTTAAAAAAGTGTGTACACAAGTAAGATTCCAGATTAGTGTTACAGGTGACAAGAGAAGCCTGTACATGAAAAGGAAATAAGATGAATTTATGAATAAGCTAAAAGAAGAGAGTAAAAATCATCAAGTCAAATGTCAAAAGAAATGCATCTGAAGAAAGTTCTCCCATGCTGTGCTAGCACTTCGTTCTGTAAACCGGACACTCTGCAGGAACACACATCATTAAAATATGAAAACAGACTGTTTGGAAAGAGGTGGAACTGCTGCAGGTGTCTGTCTGTCTGTCTGTCTGTCTGTCTGTCTGTCTGATGTAATGGGATTAACTCTGCTGTTTGTGCTCTGCTGGCTTACTTCCTTCAGACTCTCCTCCAGAAGAGGACTTTAACTAGTCCATCTGTGCAGCTCTAGCAATAAGACATACAAACTCCACCCATGAAACATACAAAAACAACACAGCTCATCGAGTTTTCTTCAGGAATACTAAATGTTGAGGAGCAGAAGCTAACTGAAATGAGTGGAAACTTTGGGAGGCTAGTAAAAAGTTCAAATGTGCTGCAGTGTGAACACAAAAGGCGAAGGCTGGATGTGAACGTGGGGAGCGTCTGACCCGGGATCAGTTTGGACTGTCCGGCGTTGCTGCTTCCTGTTTGACAGACTCATCCTCCTGTGGCTGCTCTTCATCCTCCTGCAGAGACATCGCAACACACGTTAGGTCCTTCATAGGAAACATTCTCTGGCAATAACCACAAAATGAATGCGAGCAGGGCGGCGCATGGCGTAGCGGTAGAGCAGGTGGGCTGTAAACACAGAGCTCCACACAGCACTGGAGGGTCCATTTCCCAACCTTTGAGACCCAGTTCCCGTCTGATTACAGGAAATAAAGGGCACTAGTGCCACCAAAACCTTAAAAAGTCATTAAAATGCACAATAAGAGCCTAATAGAATCAGAATCCCTATTCCAGTGAGGCTCGTTTGTCAGACTGAAAGTACCTTTTAAAAATATCAACACTTAAGCAGGTACTAAAGATTCTTTTCATTAAGCAAAATTGTAAAATTGTTTTTCTTTATTGGCCAGATGTAATATTCTAATCCTAAATATTGTAATTTGCTGTAAGCAGAGAATCATAATTAACAGAAATAAAGACTTACAACTACCGGTATCCGTCTGTGTGGAATTACTCTACATTATGTGTTTCAGTGTGTGGACTGAGTTAGTAAAATAATGAACTTTTCAATATTTTAATTTATTCAAGGGTCTGTATAACAACTATTAGTTAAGACATACTCAATTTAAATATTTCAGTTTATTTTCTAACATGGAAACATTTGGGGAACACATTACTGTTATTATGTGAGGGAAGGATTTCTTGTATTTTTGTCAAAGGAAATTTGCCTCACTTCTTGTTATCCTGAATCCACATAACATCCTGCTGCCACCTTTCCACCAAAGACTGGCTCCAACCAACTTGATTTTCCACATTATTACTTACAATGTAAATGCTTTTCCAGTAAATATTTAGGACTTCAGCTATCAGTGTATAACTCAACAGCCAGACAACAATAAAACAGAGTTAGCTAAATCTATAAAAGCAGAAAATGCAGAAAATTGTTTACTGTGAGCAAAGCAAAAGCTTTGAGTTTTGACAGATCGACTCTCTGAGGGAAAAGGCCCGGCCTGTAATTTGCCACAGTGATGCATGGCTGCCTGTGAAAACAGTTCTAGTTAAAAAGAAGAGCGTTGCTACTCTGATGTGCAAAAGCGAGTCCTTTTCTTCTGACGACTGCCACCAGAATACTTGGTATCAGTGACCCATGCAGTGGTTCATTTCAATTTCAATTTAGTTTATCTATATAGTGCAGACTCGGAACGAATGGTGTCTCAGGGCGATTTACTAAACAAGAAACAAATTAAATACACTCATTTTAATCCACACATATACACAAATTCAGTCAACTGCAATTTGATCCTGATTGTAAAACAATGCAGTAAAGTTGAGTTTACTGTGGCACCTGGTAAAAAATGTTCTGTGGAAGAAAAAGCGAACATCAGTCAGCATCCATCCTGCTCCTGTGGGCAGTAGACTGCATGGTGTTGTGACCTCCAGAGGTCACCAGCACTCCCCCAGCTCATCCACTGCGACTGACTGAGGCTTGTGTGAAACACAGAGAGCTGAACTGAACTGTTTTTTTGTTTTTGTTTTTTCACAGTACCTGCAGGCAGCTTTGATTCAGGAAAAAATGAGTGCTGCAAATAAATACTGAAGGTCCAGCCAAACAGAGGAAACGTTTATATGGAGCACTGGACAACAGCAGTGAGTTGTGTGGTGGAACTGGTGATCATGTTACCATGGTAATAGCTTTAGCTATGGGGTAGATCCTGTCTATCAGGCTTGTGTTCCAAAGGCTTGTTTCATAATCCGTTTAAAGAAGTGTTTTACACAGACACACATTGTCTTTGGTGCTTAAGGTTCACGTTCAGAATCTTCCCCTACTTTCCCTCCAAAGCTTGGTCCTTCGGTAACATATAAGACAAGTTGATTTGTACAGCACATTTCAGCAACAAGGCCACTCAGAGTGCTTTACACAATAAAACATAATACAGTAACCAATTATGAAAGATCTCACTGAGACATTAGTCCTCTAATCCCACAAATGTTCTTCAGGTGATAAAAGGCAGACTTTGTAACTGTCTTTATGTGAATGTAGGTTCAGGTCTGAGTCCATCACTATCAGACTTCAAGCTTGATCAAAGGAACTCAATCTTTCCTTTATTGTGTTTTTAATAAGAAGTCAGAGGTTGTTTTGCATGTTTTCCTTACAACAGTCTTTCTTGGTAACTAAATGATCTATCTTTGTAATAATCTAAAAAAGCATTATGACCATGCATGTTGCTAGTATATAATCACTCCATATATAGTCATCACCCAGTGAAACATCCAATGGCCATAGCAGGTTATTGGTGTGCCAGGAAGGTTTATTTTACAATAATTGATCTTTTTTTGGAAAAAAACTGAAAAGAACCAAGTATAATTTATTTATGTCAGTATTATCTGTTGATTGGTTTGCAGGTGAATTACCTCACAGTGATGTGCTCGGCTAGTGCATCCAGATGGTGACACTGTAAATGTAAATGTGAGTTTTAAATGCAACAAAGAAGAATGTGAAATGGAGAGAGCAGGAGCCAGCTGATTTAGAAAAGCAGCCAAAGTGAAAGTGACAGAGCTGCAGCGGTGATTAAACAGCTCTGACAGATACAATTACCCCCCCTCCAGAGGTTAATAGACACATCTACACACTAGAATGTGTGATCACCAGGTTAGGATCTGCAGCCCACGGCGCCCTATGAATCGCCGGCAGCTAGACGAGAGCAGACAATAGTTGGGGGCTAATTTTCTGTCAGTCAAGGAGGGCCTGACTCCCATGAGTAGTTTTGTTCTACTTACATATAAAGACACTTCTCTGAAATTTCACATTTTATTTAATCACGCTGTGAACTGTGAATAAAAATATACTGAATGTTAAATGTCCCATAATGGTGTGTATTGCGTTCCTTTCATGTCCTCATTGTGTTAAAGAAAACCTTTAGTCAGACAGGTTTCAGAGTTATTTACTAACAGCAGATCATGATTCTGATTTCCACCGATTAATTAAATATAGAATGCTTGTCTCTTTTCTGCTCACAAGTTTTCAAATAAGAAATCTTTAAAAATCAGATATCTTCCAAATATGAGATTTGGGAAATTCTTCAGTTACCTTAGCTTGTGATTCTAAGGTAACTGAAGAATTCACTGATTCAGCCCTGTTCAGTCCGCTTTAATCCAACTCTGGGTGGTTTGTCTAGAAAATCTGGTTTGTTTGGAAAAGTGTGAATGTGTAGTCGAACTCTGATACGGACCAAAAAATTGAACTCTGGTTCTCCTACAAACTTCGGTCTGGGTTCGGTTGAAGTGAACTCTGGTACGGTTAGAATGCATGTATGAACACCAAGCCAAACAGAGAGCGTTCCAAACGCAGGAAGTGGACTTATCATATTATAAACATAAGAGGAGTAAACCTGACCCCATGGTGTTAATCTGAGATCTATTGCTTTAGGTCAGAATGGAGCAGATGGTAACAGCTAATGGAAACAGACACTTTATGAATTTACTAGAAAACACCTTATTGATCACATGGCACTCTATTTCTTGGAGACTATATAACAAACTCTCATAACAAAATACAATATCAATCTGGAGACTTTGGTATAATTACTTCCTGCTGCACTCATTGCACGCATAGGCCTGTCATGATGACATTTATTGGGTATTGGTAAATTTCCCAGAAATAAAAAAAGGAAAAAATAACAGAAAGAAAAAAGTACACACCTTAAATAAAATGGAATTATGATCTCACTGTAAACAAAATATATTAATCATTGGAATGAAAATGATCAAATTCATAATTAATTAATTGCTTATTGCGACAGGCTTAGTAGGAGTTGGACAATGACAATTAAAAAGTGAACTTCTGCTTTGTCAGCAAGCTTATTTAACTGAATTAGCAAATGACACTAATTTATTCAAGTAGTGAATCAAAAGCAAGTTTCAAACATCATAGCACATATTTTCATAATATAACAGTGTTAAGTTGATCAGTAGGCATGTTGCAGATAAAGATGAGCCTAACGGTGCCCGTCATATTTTCTGCCAGCATGGTTCTAAGGCCACGTCTAGAACCCGTAAATTAGTGTTAGGGTAAATGCAGAGACTGGCCTCTAAATCTTCTCTTACTAAAAGAACCTTGGTCGTTGCTTCTGGAACAGTCTTGATATGCGGCCTCCCTCAAGAAAAATGTGCCATTTTTTCCTGAACTCTGTTGCTTTGTGGTGTCGGTCTGTGGGGCCGATATAAATCTGAGTGCAGGATGACGCATCATGAACTCCCTCATCGTATACGCTTGTGCCATCTACCAAATCTCCCAGACAAGTCTGCCAATTTTCCAATTACCTCTGGTGCCATTCATTATCAGAGGGCCAGTCACTTCTTAAATGGGAAACAAGAGGAGAGGAGGGGCTAAACCATGCTAACTACCTCATAAACCCAGAGAACTGCCTCCCATGCCTCCTTCTGTTCTGATTTAGTGGGTGTCCCTGGGGGAAGAGTGACGGAGGTTCTTGTGGCCCCTGAGGGCCTTTGCTGGATTTCTCATGTGCTCTTTATCCTTGCCACTCCAACCCCTCAGCCACCTATCGTTCCTGCCTGTGCCTGAGGGAAAGCAGGCGAGTGTCAGTGCTGCACTGCTTCACTGGTGCTGGTATTATCCTGCTGTCTGGCTGCCTACAGCACCCACCGTCCCACCCCACCCTCTATCCCCTACCCCCATCCCCACCCCCACCCTCCTGTCTGGGAATGTCGCACAGTCCTAATCTTTGTGTCTCTTCGAATCTCAGTAAAGCGCCAGGCTGAAAGAGAAACCACATCTGAAAATTACATGCAGATAAAGCCCACTGTTTACCTTTCTATACTTATGGTTAGGCTTTTATGGCGGCTGTGCAGAAATTGCCTCTGCAACATGCATATCTGAATGGTACAAGAGATGGAGAAGATGAGCAATTATATTTTAAATGCAGCCATCATCCAGCAAGTATGAAAAGCTTTCTGAGTAGGAGTACTTGCTGTTTGAGGGCACAAGATATACACAAAATCT